ATCGAACAGCAACAAAAGGAATTTACAAAACTTTTCAAATCACTTCAAAAGGTTATCAGTGAAATCGATGGGCCACATTTTTCAATTGCATTTGAACTCTCAAAGAACTGCAAGTATTGGAAATGGCCAATGGTTCAATCGTTTTTGAAGAGACAAGAGTTGAAATTGTATCCATTCCACGGTTGCCAGTTTGGGGTTATTGACTTGGACGGGAATCCCATGAAAAAGGGTTGGATGATTGCAACAAACATGGAAGAGTTGTCAAGTCTATCGGAATACGTTTGTGATGGTTCCCACACTCATGGTCAAAGCCGGGGTACTGCACTGAAGCTTGCAGAGAACTACACATTCAAGTTGACTGACTTCATCCATGATTGTTTTCGTTCCAGAGCTAACCGGGCACAAACCGCCAAGAACAGGAAAAGGTTAGCTTTGCCCGCCATGAGCCGACGTTCTGAAGATTCAAACTTGTCGATTGCTGAAAAGATGAACGTGCGGGCTCTCAAGTCGGCCGGTTTAAAGACCGTGCCCCAGCAGAGCAACATGTCGGAGTGGCTTGCTTTTCGGAAGTGCCTTGATGTTCAGGGGGATAGGCACGCAGGGTGGGAGGACATCTTTTCTACGGTCCTCGCTTCGTCAACCATCCTGGCACAGGGCAACAGAACAGAAGACCTTGAGTTGGCTGCAGGATTCATGCAGTGTTTCACTGCGCAGTCAATGTCTACGGACGCCCTGACGAACGTGCCGTGGGCAAAGGAGATCCGCCATCTGTCCGAGTTGGAACATGACTCACTGTGGGATCTGAGCTTGCCTACTGAGTACGTCCCTGGGACATCAAGGCCGGCGGTAGACGTCGTGCCCACCATCTATGTGGTGACTTCCGATTCAACTTTGGCTCTGATCACTGGAAAGGGTAAGACTTTGAAGAAGTACACCTTGAAGGAGGATCTGGGATTGCGAAAATCAGACATGGTTCTCGAAATCGGTCATGACATGCTCTGGGGTAAGGATTTACAACAGCTCTGCAAAGCAAATGTTTCCATGATCAAGGAGCTGATGGCAAAATATTCTTCTCATGGATCAGCCATCAGGGTTATTTCGGTGATCTTTTGGTCTGGAAATGAAATTTGTGGGGAACATGGTGTTGAACCCCTTCCCATTTGGGGGCAGAGGGAACCAGGGGGCGACTGGAATGCCATCATGGACAGGGTCAAAGGCAACATCGTTTGGTGGAACAATCAGCTCAAGGAGTTGGGAGTGGATCAGGCCGCCCTAATCGGCGAGCCCGACCCGCTCACTTATGGGTTGAGTCTCATCTTCACGACGTTTATTGAACGTCTGAAGGAATGGTTCCACAAGGAGATTGCCAGTGACAACGATCGGATTCGGTGGATCAAGAATGACATGCTTCCACCGAGGCTTGAGCTCAGGGACTACTTTCACGCATTCGAGACCGAGCTCAACCGAAGCGAGATGATCGGATATGTCATGGCAACTCTCCACATGCTGCACATGACGGACATTTTGATCCCTCAGTACAACCTGTCTTTGTACAAGCGCAGGCGCCCTGCAGGTGAAGCTACAATGCGCGATGTCCCGCCTAAGATGGAGCACCTTCCAGTCAGGTTTGTGCAGGTTCTCAACTCTCTCCGGGAGAAGGTGAACAAGCCTGCACCGAGTGTCTCGACCCCGGAAAGCTTTACAGCGGAGGAGTTGAGGGATCGCCCGACTGATGCTGGTGTCGCCGAAGATGATGATGAGGAAGGCGACCCATGGGATGCTCTGGATCCCGATGAGCACGAGGGCCCATCTGTTGGCAAAGCCAAGGCGAGCCACGCAGCTCCGCCTGACCCCAAGGCGAAACCTCAGACGACGCAGGAGGATTCAACTCAGGCCACCTCAGCTGGTGAGCCCCTGCAAGAAAACGAGATCAAGGGTACCATCATTCCGAAACACGCACTTGGACACCTTGACAAATATCGCATCACTTTGGATGAAAATATAAATGCAGAAGTAGTTGAACATTGCGTCGTTGATGCCCATCCCTACGAATTGATCGTCAAAACCTGTTGGGAGATGGATGGGGCAAAGGAGCTGAGGTACCCAGATCGCATGGACCGACACAAGACCAAGGTCAATGCAGTGACGCGTGGACAGCCGGGTCAGGACACCTCTGGATTTGATGAAAACATGTGGCTTGACCTTGATGACTTCTTTCGAATGTTCAACCAAATGCTGCCAGCCAAGTTGCCCCGAATGACAGTTGAAGAGCTCATCTCATTGCTCTACTGGGACAACAAGTGCCGTTTTGAGTTCCAGTGCATTGCCGGGTACCAGAAGGCAACCCGTAAAGGGTTAGCCTACTGGCCCATCAGGATCCGTGCAGTGCAGGGGCATACGAAACGTGCCATGGATGCCGCTTCAGCTGAGGACACGTTCAATGCAGTGGAAATCTATGCTCTGTCTGGAGCAGCAGCGATCCAGAAAATGAACGCCAAAGGTAAAAAGATTACCACTCCTCAGATGTGCCTTGGCGTAGTTTATCACAGGACTACAAAAGGCAATTGGAAGGGCATCATTGAGAATGGCTTCGTGGCTGGAGGAGGAGAACGAAACTCGTCAGGAAGAGCTCACTCTTATTTTAGCGACGTTCGTGTTGATGACAAAGAGTATGTGAGCGGTTTGCGTGCTGAGCGACCCATTGAAATCAGGGTTGCGATGGCAGAAGCTGTCAAGGCTGGAATTGTGTTTTTCAGAACAGCTTCCGACGGCATTCTCACAAGCGATGTCGTCCCGCCACAATACATCATCTCTGTCGATGACACGGCCAAGAAGGTGAATCTTTATCGTCGCCAGCAGGAGATTGCACAGTCTGCAGCGAGCAGTGGGGGAGAAGTTGGAGTCCAGCAGCTTGTCGAGACCTTTGAGGCCAAGGCATCGAAAAGGACGGGTTCCACATCTCCGGCCGCCTCAACTGGCGCGCCCGCTGCAAAGACATTTTTCCCAGGAAAGGTGAAGCCTCCGCCACCAAATGTGGCCCAACTTGCCGGTATGCCTGGATATGCAAGCAGCAGACTGTTGCCCCCTCCTCCAAAGGGTGAAGCTCCAAAACCTCCTGCAGCAAAGGTTGAAGGACCAAAGACACCGCCAAAGACACCTCCAAAATCATCACCGAAGGAAGGGACTTCTGCACCTCACGCACCAGAAGTTCCAAAAGCTGTGACCTCAGAAGTTGATGCAGCGGCAAAGGATGAACCTGCAAAGAAGAAGGCAGCCCTGACAAGCGTGCCCGCAGCTGTGCCTGCGGCATCATCGGCTGCGGCCTTCTTGGAGCCTGTTCCAAAAGTTGCACCACCAAAGGCAGTGCAGAAAGACCCAAAAGCTCCAGTTGCAGAGTCACCCAAAAAGACGCCAGCAGCAACATCAAAGTCACTGGTGCCAAAGCAGAAGTCTCGCCCTAAAGGCGATGACCAACCTTCGAAGAAAGAGGTGAAGAAGGAGGACAAGAAGCCGGTGCCGGTCAAGATCGAAGTCACGCAATGTTCAAGATGTTTTGCACAGACTTTCAAGGGACAGATTGAATGCGATGTGTGTGGATTGATGCTCGAAGGGATCAACAAGGCCGACCGAACCAAGATCGCAGAACGTAGGAAGGCCGCCCTTCACAAGCTGGGCTTGTACTATGATTTTCGTGGTGAGTACCTGCAGAGCATCACACACGATCAGCTTGAATCTTTGGGTTTGTTGGACGACCAGGCAAGGGGAAGCTCAAGTCCGGAAGCCAATTTGTTGGCAAGGGCGAAGAGTCGTTTCGACCGTGCCTTGAGCTTAGGCTATGTGTCTGTGGCTGACAGGTTTGCCCAGGACGCCACATTCGCAGAGAGCGTGTTGAACGAGGGGGAGAACGAGTACGATTGTGAAAGGTACGACCTCCTCAAGTCTGCACATTTGCCAAAGCCGGGTCGCACCAAAGCTCAGGTCAAGATGGGTATTTCTGAGCAATCTCAGCTCGAGCACAACGCGATGAGGCTGGTTTACTTGGATTTGGCAAGCCGTCTTGATGTCCCGAAATCATTCAGGTACATTGACCAGCCATGGTTCTACATGTACCGAACCGAGATCTACTCCGAAGAAGAGTACATTGACTACCTCAGCAGGAATCCCGGACACAATCTTTTGTTGTCTTGCACAGGTGTTGACAACATTGCTGTTCATGATGCTGAACGCCATTTGAGGTGGATTAAGGGACAAAATGAAGAGCTGTACAAGCAGAACGCAGCAGAGAAGAAGAAACAGTCTGACAGGGCCCGCGAACAAAACGAGGCCAAGCGCAAAGCTGAGCAGACTGGTGCGTATGGCCAAGGTCCCTCCAAGAAAGGCACCGCCAAACCGGTTGCCCGACCATCCACAAGCGTAGAGGTAGCTTCATCATCAACGTCTGCAAGTCAGTGGCTCAACCGCCCTCAGCAAAGTCATTCCCACGATGACCGCCGTTACACTGGAGAATGGCAGAAGTGGCATGGACGCTGGTATGAGAAAGTCATCAGGCATGGCCGAGTTGAGTGGGAAGAGGGATAAGTTGTGACACTGCTTGCATTGACGATCGGTTTTTGTATCATAGCCGCCGAGTGTGTTTTCCCTTGGGTTTGCAAAGAGCAGGTTCGGTGAGGCAGGTCTTAAAGACCTCGCCCTGGTAAATGTGGCATCCTCGCCGTACCGGCTCACCTGAGGGGGGTGTAAAATCACCTCACATAAAACACACTGTAATATAGCATGTACTTGATAGCATTGCGGCTCAGACAAAAGGTGCTGCTTAGTCGCTAGCTTAACGGTTTCTAGTTTTGCCCCATAGGTTTATCAGTCTATTTGGGATAAGTAAATTACCCCAGCTGAAACCTGAAAATACAGGTTTTAAACGTGATATGAATGTGGTGCAAGATAGCCATGGCCCCATGGCCCCATGGCCCCATGGCCCCATGGCTGTTGCCTAAGCGCGGCAGAATCAGCCTTGGCCCTTGCAAGTCTTCTCCCTACAACGGATGAAGGACACTTTGCAGAGATTGGGGCTTGTCATACTGTGGATGGGCCAGCGAAATCCTGCACCACCTTGGATTGTTGAAACCCTTGAAATAATGGGATAATCCACCGTTTTCAACTGGTGCACGATTTCTCAACCATCCACTGTATGGTATCACATGATAGTGCCATGTATGGTCAACAGTTGGTTTAAACTAATCCTGGAAGATGATCATGGAATCCCTGATGGTGGGATAACCATTAGCAACCCCCCAAGAGATAGAGATGCCAAAGAGTTGGAAACCTGGGGGAAAAGCTCTATCGAACCAACATCCTGGAGATACTTGTCCTTGTTTGGGACCCCTATATGGAGGTTTCCATAAATTGGGGGTATCCCAAAAGCTGGATGGTTTATTTCATGGGAAATCCCAATCTAAAATGGATGATAACTGGGGGTACCCCTATTTTAGGAAACTTCCATATGTATCCATAAATGGTTGGTGGTTTGGAACATTGTTTATTTAGTTTATTTTTCCATTCAGTTGGGAATAGTAATCCCAACTGACTCATATTTTTCGGACGGTTGAAACCACCAACCAGATAATATGTTTTTGATTTCCCAAATTTGCCTCTAATATGTGGATGTCTCTGGAGGTGAAGATCATGATCCTGGTAGTAAGTCCTAGTTATGGCTCAGATACTGGCTGAGTTCACCACTTCGAAAAAAACGTGCAAGGGAATAGTCCCATACCCTCTGGTAATTTAACATAGCTATGGAAAATCATCATTTTTAATGGGAAAACTCACTATAAATGGTCATTTTCAATAGCAAACTGTTAGTTTACCAGAGGGTATCTCCCAATGAATTCCCCACCGGGTTGGAAGCCTTCCCTTTTTGAATTGGTTGAATGGAAAATTGGAACTGGACATCTCGATCGTTGATGGTAACAACCATGGTTTCGTGTGGATTTTCCCTTAGCCAAACGATTGATTGTCACATTTGTTGAATATCCCTTTCTATCCCTATAGTATAAACCCATATATAGTTATTTACAACGAAGTCATTCTCATCTTTTCCCATCATTAACTATAGATGATATCACTAACTATCAATCACCATTTTTGATGGTTAAATCACCATGTTCCATGAATACTACAGTCATATTCCTCCAATCAACCCAAGAGCATTTACCAAGTTGTGGAAAAGTCAGATCAACTATCATCAATCAGCTATAAATCCGAAATCACCATGTTCAAGTTGCTCAAATCACCGGTTTTTCCTATGGTTTTCCAATGGAATTCTTATGGGAAAACTGAGGAAGTGGGCTGGACCACCATGGTGGGCCGTTTTATCGGTTCCGAATGGAAGACTAATCGCTCCGGGCGGCATGGCGTGGAACTGAACCGGGGGATGTGCTGTTTGAAGCCAAGCAGCCATAAAAAAGGGAGGATTTCATGGGATTTCATAGGATATTTATAATTAGAATTTCATGGGATTTAATGGCGTTTAATGGACTTAATTGGATTTAATGGGACTTAATTGGATCTAATGGGATTCTATAGTGATTTTATGGGATTTAATGGTGTTCAATTGGTTTTGGTTGGGTTTAGTGGGGTTTGGGGGTTGGTGGACCTACTGGGCGTGTCTGAAACATTGGGCCTATCTTCAAATGGCAATTTTAATAAGGACATTGATGATAAACTTCTGGTTTTTAGGGTACCCAAGTTTGCGGACCATGTTCTTCTTTACCGGGAAATTGTAGTGAAGAAATCAGTTATTTTGGTGTTTAGCAGATTCTCCTCTTACCCATGGATGACTGGCTGCTGGTTTCACGTGTTTTTTTTTGGTTCCATCCCTACCTTGATGCTGTGTCCCCCAGAAGGTAGAAAAAATATACCCTCAGGGCCTCAGGCTATCAAACATGGGAATGGTAAACCCATCATTTCTATATGATTGTCCATTTAAAACCACCATTTGTAGGGAATTTCCCATTGCCACAATGTTTGATTTCCGAATGGGTGAAAGAAAAACCATCACCATCAACATACTATGGCTGATTTGTTCTTTTGTTTTTATGGGATCGATTTGAAGTTGCCAGTTGCCGGTACTTTTGTTGCGTTCTTCGAATGGAGAGGAGTTCACTTTGCACTGTTTTTTCCCTTTTAAAAGCACATTCATTCCAGCATGGACAGATTCGACTCAGGCATGGGGTATTAAAACATGTTGTCAGATCTAGAGCTATATCCAGCTATATCCAGCTATATCCAATTTTAATGGAGGTTTCCTAGAATAGGGGTACCCCCAGTTATCATCCATTTTAGATTGGGATTTTCCCTTATAAGCCAACCATTTGGGGGTACCCCCATGACTTAGGAAACCTCCACCTGGGTCAATTTCAGAAAACGACCATCCCAGAATGCTCCAAGATTTCAGGCATTTTTTTGTTGATTTATCCATTAAACATGGTGATTTTCCTTATGTTAGTTTACCAGAGGGTATAATTTACCCAGATGTTTTATTTCATGGAAAATCCAAAAAAAACTATGGATGAGTATGGATGAATTAGAGATACTGCCATGAATTGGACACCTCTAAAAAATAGAAAGTGACATATAGTGACTAAGAACAGAATGATCCGCAACCAACAGCGGACCCTCCGAGACTCAGGGATCATGGTCACCTCTGCTTCATGGCGGAAGGCATTTTCATGACGTTGATCGGCCGCTAGGACGCGATTTTTTAATGTGGGGATGCGGCGGGTTTTTGTGAAGGGAAGGGTGTCGTCTTGAGATGCAATTCACGTTTCGATTGTTTAGATGTTTCAGTATGTTTCATGTATTATCCCTAAAGTCTGTGAATTGCTACAGTATGTTCATATATAAAATTATATGTATATATATATTATAGATTAAATATTCCATTTTGAGTTTGCAGAAACCATCGAAAAAAAATCGCTGCTTTGCCACGACCGTGGGTGGGTCCCTTTTTCAAGGCCGCTACTTTCCCCAACACTTTGGCAGCGTTGCGGATGACGCTTGGCGGTGATCTCTGTTCCGAGGCCATATCCCTCTGGTCAACATACACAAAGCTATTGAACATGTACCATAGAAATAGTTGATTTACCCATTAAACATGGTGATTTTCTATAGTTCTGTTCAATTAGCTTTTCAAAATGGTGATTTTCTATAGCTTTTTATGTGTTTACCAGAGGGTATATATACCGCATATATGTATAGATATGGGGATTAGTCAAAAATGAGGCCCTCTGGGACCACAGTTTTTTTTCGTATATGTTTAGTATTAGCCATATCCAAGTTTAACCTATACCCATATATGGAACACACATGTATATAGTAATAACGTTTATTGGTTATAATTATAATAAATTACCCTCGGATAACTATGGAAAATCACCATTTTGAATGGGAAAACTCACTATAAATTGCAATTTTCAGTAGCGATGTTAGTTTACCAGAGGCTATTTGTATTGTTAGCATGGCATAAACCAATTGGTTTCAGTCAAGCGCTTTCCAGCTAGAAACAACTCGTTGTTTCAGAACCGCGACTCGCAGCTTTTTGGGCTTTTGTTATGTGGTAGTTAATATCAAATTTCGGACATACCCATATGTTTGTTCTATATCCCCATTATATATATATATATGATTTAATATGTGTGTATATTTAATACGTATCATATCTATCTATCTATCTATCTATCTATCTATCTATCTATCCGCAAATGTTATCATAGTTGTTGGTCAAATCATGTACAAGAACCCCATTGTGGTTGATGAAATTCTCATTGCAGTACCATCCGAACGATCCGACGATCGTTTGCGAAGTTGGCCTATAACTGCAGTACCATAACTGGTTGGTGGTTTGGAACATGTTTTATTTGTCCATTTTTCCATATATTGGGAATAATTGTCCCAACTGACTAATATTTTTCAGAGAGGTTGAAACCACCAACCAGATAAATTAGGGTCTAGGGTAGATATACGTCTTTCGCGAATCGAGTTTATTTTTTCTGCATACTTCAACGCAAACGTAAGGCTATATTTGTGATTTCATCAACATGCCAGGAATTCCAGCCGTTGCTTTTACTGAAAAAAACATGTCCACTGTAGGACTGGATCGGATAGCCTCTAGAGTCGCTGGACCTTGGAATTCATTGACATTTCATGACCGAACCGAACCGCCCAGCTTGCTTGTTATATCCCAGTAATATCTCTATTAAATTACACAAATATATATATATACATATATTAGTTAGTGACACGAAAAAAATCTCTACCCTACTAACCACTCCACTTGTTAGAGTAAGCCTGGTTAGTAAGTGCCCTAAGTAGTTCATCCCATATATAAATGGCTTACAACATTGTTATGACTATGGTTCCGAACCAGTTACGATCCGTGGAATGATCCTCCAAGCAGATCCCCATTGATGGTTTAGTCCCACTATGTTCCCATCTGGCTGGTGGTTTCAAACATGAACTGGCTCTGGAGTATGGCCAAGGCTTGGCCGCACGTCTGACTGCTTGGTGGATGGAGAGAACAAAGCATGCCTCCTCCACTTCGCCGTGTTGGCTGAGTTTTGCCCACCCTTTATGTGGACTATCAGATGACTTGGGGATGTGCTGGGCCCATCAAATCGGGCAAACGCTGGATCGATGGGGCTACCCGACCATACATTGAACCTGAAAGGAATGACTACCTCCTGCGGGTCAAGTGGTTTCGAAGGAGCCTCAATTTTTTCTGGCAAAGAACGAAGCAGAGAGTTGGTTTAGCACAATGCAGGCCAGCGGGATCGGCCATTCTTAGCTATGTGACTTGTGCGTCCGTGTGCTGGGACGAGGCTTGCTTCAGCCGGGTCGATCAATGGATCCTGACGACGTGCAGAACTCCATGTGTCCGAGGTTCAAATTCGTTGAGGAGCCTTCCCTTGGTTACCAAAACTGAGGGGATGGCACTCTGCGGAGGCCTTCAAATCGAAGGCGTTCGCTCAAACTGAGCGGTCGCGCTCCGAACCCAGAGCCGGCCCGACCGACGGAAAGCGGAAAGTGGTGGTTTCAAACATACAATATAATATATGGGATGTCATCCTGCCCATTGACTTTCACTCCATCATTTTCAGAGGGGTGGCGAAAAACCACAAACCAGCCATTATTGGTATTATAACCACTATGATTATATAATCCCATTGTTGATGATTATCCCGTTATATATCCCATCATTATAATCCCATTATAATCCCATTATATAACCACTAGTATTATAACAACCACTATTATCTCATTATAATCCCATTATAATCCCGTTATTCACCTGGACTGTTCCCATGGACATCTCATCCCCCGAGGAATGGGCGCACGAGCCACGGCTGCCGTTCTTCAACGGGGTCCTGCAGCAGCCGGAGCGCACCGGCGGCTTCCGCGACAGCCCCAGCGTATGGAGCCGCCGGGAGCATCCGGGCTTGTCGCCTCGGCTGATTTTCAGATTTTTCATGGGGATTTGATGGTGATTTAATGGTGATTTGGTGATGTTGAATGGTGATTTCTTGGTGATTTTTACTATTTTGATTTAATGGGATTTGATGGAATTTAATGGTGATTTGACGTTTTTTTATTGGGATTTCATGGTGAAGAGTGAATTCTATGGTGATTTAGTGGCGAATTAATGGGATTCAATGGTGATTTGATGGTGATTTAATTTATTGGTGATTTAGTGAAGGGTGGTGAAATCTATGGTCATCAAAGCCAGGATACCACCACATCATCCAAGATTGTACCAGTTTACTATATTGAAACATATTGAAATTCATGGCTCTGGGGTATTGTCACATCATTCCATTATTAATTATCGTTCATATTGCTATAAATATAATCTCTCTCTCTATATACATATATACACAATCTCCTTGTACAAAGTTGTACCTTTTGCTGTATAGCTGTGTAGAAGATCATTCCCAAAAGTCACCCCAGTTCTTTGACCTCTGACCACTAGGATTGATCCAACTCGGGCCTTTATCTTTTGTCCAAGCTACGGTGAATTCTGGGCCCACGCAGTGGCAACCATGCTGCTCGGCGGAAAACCAAGGAACGTCCTGTAGTGAAACGCTTGAAAACCAAGGAACATGAGAGTCTGGTGTACTTTCTATCGTGTTTTTTGTTGGTGGATTTCAGAAGGTAACTAACCACGAATAAATATATAATCTGGCAAGAGTTTGAATCACCGTTTCTTCTATAGTGATTCTAGTGTAGAAGTTTGATATACTGTACTTTTATGTGCTTTTCGATTGAAAATAACTCTGCAGCGCAACGCAACACCGTTTCGCAACCATGGACTCACTTTTTGGTGACCCGGGTGACTAGATCATACAGCATCGGGGAAGTGGGTATAATCCAGTTGCACTTGCATGTTTGATATCATGGCTTGTAGTATGTTATAGTTGATATACGGGTATGATAGCTCAACTATAATTCAGTGGTTATAATCGCAAGTGGTTTATACTCCCATAGTTGATATACGGCTGATGCTTATAGTAACCCCGAAAAAAGATGCAGAACAGGTCTAGAAAGAAGCTGAGTTGTCCAGGCACTATCCCTTCTTTATGGTGGAAGCCGCACAAGTCTTCGAGCGAGCCCGACTGGACGGGGTCGGGACGGGGCATCAAATAGGCCGCATCGTTGGGTGGTGATTTAATGCCTAACTTAGAGCCTGAAGAGGAAAGATCTCGCAAATATCAACGAAGATGTTTGCAAGTCATGCGGGGTTGAACATGGATCAAGAATTCGTGGCTTCGTCAGCTTAGTTCACCCCACGACAATGACGAGGTGGAGCCGGAGCTCCACTGTGAGGGCTGTGCAAATAGCTGGTGTCCCTTTTGTCCGTGACTTGTCCATTCCGACCTTGTGGAAATGGCTGGGGAACAGAAAAGGATGGAGTTGGCACAACTATGGAGTTGGCAAAAACCTGAAACACCTCGTAGCTACGGTGGATAGTTGCGAAACCCTGCGCCAGTTGATGGGTGGTAAACATCCCATTCTTTGTGGGGTTTCAACCATCCTTTGGTGCAGGACTTCGCGACCATCCACAGTAGGTTTCCAGCCACTATTCTGCTCCGGCTTGGCATATCCTGGATAGTTTTTTGTTTGGGCTCAATTCATTGTCAAAAATGACTCAAGCATTCCCCTTTTATCGGTCACATCTCCAAGAAAAGACGGGTGATATTCGCCCTTTAATCTATGGGTGCAGGAAAAGATCCTGTCATCCCAAGTGGCCATCATAATTGTTCTTGATTATACCAAGCATTATCATTCCCATAACATCCAACAACTATGATAAACAAAGAAAGTTTCCATCCAAGGAGCATGACATTCAATGAGCATATCATATCCAATAAAAAATAGCAACTCTTCGAATAGATAACTCATCACTACAATTGTTCAAAGGAATGTGTCTATCTTTTGGTAGTTACTAGATATTACAATATATATATATATATGTAAATATATATATATATACAGTTATATACACGTGTATATATATATTTATATTATATTATAGTACTATAGACATACACATGATCATATCCGAGCACCAGGAGATCTCGTACATGCTAATGGAGGGCAAGTACGACGAGTCGCCCAACTATGGGACCCAGGCAGGGGTTGTTTTCGCTGGAGATTGGAACGAAAAGTTACATAAATCTCACATACATATGCTTAGTATTGTAGTAATATATATATATATATATTGTATTGTACTTACTGTTACATAAATATGTTTAGTAATGTTTAGTATTGTTGTTACTGTACTATATTTGCTGGATATTGGAATGACATGTATTCAAACCGTACATTAATGCTGTATATGTTTAGTAGTTACTTTATTTTTTTGAACAGGATTGTAGAGTCCCTTAAATTGTGTTTGAAGAGGAACGGTTGCTGATTCTGGAGCTGTCTGGGTTTGGGTTGAAAACGCCACCAGAAAGTGATCAGTGTTGCCAGTGGTGGTCGTACCATTCATTCGATGCCTAAGCACATCTAAGCACCAAGAGGTATTGTTCGTAGTTGGATCTCCATATATGTTCAAATATAGTTGGTTTTAAAATGGAAATCCATTATATGGAAATCAACATTATAAATCAAGAATTATATATGGAAATCAACTATATTCCATTATTAAGTGGTATATGTTCATTATTAAGTGGCTGGTTTTAAAGTTCAAATGAAATCCCCATGGAAATCCATGAAAAAAACCAAAAAAAAATAGCGCTTGGCACCTCCATCGTATTCGGGTTTGTCTGACCATAGCGCATGACTATAAATGTACCGATTTCTCAGTACAGATCAGTACAGTACCTTCTAAAATTGCCAGTTTGGGGTATACCCTCTAGCTATTGAAAATGGCCATTTGTAGTGGATTTACCCATTTATATGAAATAGTGATTTTCCATAGTTATGTTAGTTTACCAGAGGGTATACTTAATGTTCAGACAAAGCCAAATATCCGGGTCGTGGTTTTATATCACCATCGATTGGGCAAAGAACTCGACAAACAACCTGCTTGAATGATGATTAATTATATGATATGTAACAGTTGCATGGATGATTATTTGTTATTTAGAGTTATTTACCCAATCATTACCATAACTATGATATGTACGATTTGTTCCATAGTTATTATATCATGACTTTGGTGTTTATTATTAAAGTATATTGGTTTACGTTTATTTACCCATGATTATAATAATGATGGTAATCGTTAGGATTATTATGGTACTAGTATAATTCGATACACTTAGATTTCCATACAATAATTGTTCCTTATAGGTTTTTTTCCATCTGGATTTTCTTATCCCAGTTTGTCGCTGTCCCAGCCAGGATCTGCGATGTGGTCGACCTGTTCTCGGAATGCACCTGATTCGTTCCCTGCTTCGGTTTGCATATTGGGGATATATGGTCTCGTGTTCCGAGTTCATAACCCCCCCCGCCCCCCAATGGTATGGGTCTTCCAGTAGCACCCCCTTTCCTTCTATTTGCAAGCTATTGGCAGCATTTCTGAGGTCCAGCCTCGTGTTTGCTAGGTCTTTGCAGCATTTCTGACTACCAGCCTCGCATTTACTTGGTACATGCTACCTTTTAGACGACCTACGTAGCACACATACTCCCTCAAAGTACCTACGTGTGTACTTCCTATTTTCTACCTGTGTACGCTCACAACACTACATGTGTTTAACATATACCGCACCTACCGTACATTCCAATGATACCATACATATCATACATACCATACGAACTTTGACCGTACATACCAGACCTATCATACCTATCATGCATACCACACATACCATACATATGAAACATAATTGCCACACCTCCCATACATACAATACCAAACATACATGCCATACATACCATACCTACCTTACATAGCAAGCATTCCATACCCATCATAGTAACCATACATACCGCACATACCATACAGACCATACATACTGTCATATCAAACATACCATACCCAACAGACTTACATACCATACCTACCATCGATACAGTACCACACCCCCACCACACCACAGGGGGGGGGAAGGGGACCGTACTATGGCTGACCCATGAACATGGCCGCGGGGGGGGGATATACTGATGTTTGGCAGGGGGGGAAAGGCGCGCAATACTGGATGAAACTATTTCGTCGTTTCAACCGGTTTCCGAAGGTGCTTCCCTGGGTCTTATTTTATGTGTTCAAAATCACCAAGAAATCAAACGAGATGTCTCCGATAAATATATACCTGCGTCCTTTCAAATTTGATACTGTCACTGTCATTGTTGTCCTAAAGCCCCTTTTGTACCGTCTAGCCTGAATTATTTTGTGGTACCCTTCTCCACACTGTTTGTATTACCACAAACTAGGGAAAACAAAACAATGCCGAAATTGTGCTAAACTCTTACACGCCCACGCCTTATTTAGTGCAAAAAATCATCTGCACCTCTTGCACACCCTATGCGCCCGCTTATGCTGAATTCCTAACTCCATCTTACCCCCAAGTCCGGCAAACAATGAACTCTGAGACATCCTGAGAGCCTGAGACTTCCAAACCTCATACCAAAACCTTTGTGTCCTGCTGCGGCGGATGAATGTCATGATCACCGAGAATCAGGTCAGAACCGGGAAGGGGCTGCATGAGTCGCAGGCATCCGTGCAGAGGCAGAAACAGACGAGACCCAGCTCGAACTGAAGCTGCTCGCCTGGTGGATGTCACGGTGACGAGAGCACCGGAGGCTCAAAGCCGCTCAAGACGAAGTGTCCATTGCCACCTTCCAATCGTCCGGGACCAGAGGAATATCCTCGGATCCGCTTTATCTGTGTTGTGAGTTTGTTTTTATAGAAATGGTGTTTTTTTTAATGGTAAAACAACCATGGTGAAACCACCTCAAGACCCACCCTTCGCAAGATGACCCCGGGCTAAACGTCTCACAAACGTGCCCCAGGCATCCCCAGGCTACAAACCTCGTTTGCCATTATACTGGGGATATGGGATTTACTGATATACCTTCTGGATCCTTCTGGTAATTTGTTACTTAGCCATTAAACATTGTCCATTTATAGGGTGGTTTGCTTTTCACATGCTGATTTTCCACTGCCCGTTATTAGTTTACCAGAGGGTATTGGAAGTGTAATGGGGATGTAATGGGATATATCTAATATATTCAACATATTCTAACATTATCTAACAATACCGTGTCTAATTGGGACTTTTATGGAATTGAACCAACAATTTCAATCGGATTTAGCCAGCTGGTGATGTTTTGAGGGGATATCACAATCTTGGTCTGTTTCTTGGGTTGAAAAAGGGGGATTGACTCCTATAAAATTAAACATAGATAATATACATATATAATCATATATACACATATTATATATATATATATATATATTATATATGCATATAATTATGTACATATCATATATATATATATATTATTAACATATATCTTATATATATATATACAGTGTATATGTATATATATATACAATATATATATATATAGTATATATATATATATGTATAGTATATATATATATATATATATATATCATCATATCATATAGGGTCCTTTAATGGGGAAACGATGATAACACACTGGAATTGAGGGTGCCCCACTTTCAGACCCAAATGGTTGTTGAGCCCCGCAATCCCGGGATACGGTATCCACCTTTTGAGACAAAGCCACAAAGGAAAACTGTTCAACTCTATACTTGAAGGTTCATGTGGGTTAAAAACTAGATAGGTTATATACTAAGTAATTAGCTATACATACTATCTAGTTGCCATGGGCGCTGCAGGGCGCCTGGGTGTTTTGTTGTTTTTTTGGTGTTTTTTTTTACCGTTTTTTGTTTTTTTTTTTGATGGCGTGGGTTGGGGTGGGGTGGGGTGGGGTGGGATGTTAACGTTCATGTGACGTTCATGATGTTACGTTGATCATGGGGTGGCGTGGGGTGGGGTGGGATGTTAACGTTCATGTGACGCTCATGATGTTACGTTGATCTATGCTGATGGTGCTCGTGCATGGCGCATGGTCCAAAGCTGCGAAAGTTTTGAAAGTTCCTTGTTTTCAAGTGAATCATCAGCATAAAGAATATGCTTCCACAATTCGTAAGGTGCCCAAAGGATTGTCCAAGATCAGTGGAACACAGACCATCGATTCAGATTGGAAATCGTTGAAGTGCTGGCTTCCCAAGGAAGCTTCCCAAAAAAAGGCACTGGTGACTTGGTGACCCACTCCTCAAAATTGGAGCAAAGGGTCTGGCAATGGATGTGGCGCAGAACCGAATTGCGCGGCAATAATTCAGAGAAACTTGCAGCCATGAGCAAATTGCTCAATGGTTGAAGTAGTTTTCAGGACGTCCAAAAACAGGCGTGTAACACCGCATAGGCAATTCCAATGGGAAAATCACGCACACGCCCTTAAAACCACCAGGCGCCTCTAAGCGCCGTTCCCATCTAGTTAACTCACTTAGCTATATCAAACTTACGTATATATATATATACATATATATATATATCAGATACATGTACCATCCTTCATAAATACGAATAAAACTTGTAGTTAGGAACCGAGACTCATCTCCAGGGCCTCTGGCGTTAGAAAAACGCAAGGGTCTCAGGAAGGTTTTTGACTGGCTGCATCGAAGCAGGCAACTGACTCTACAAGTACATATAGAATATACATGTTAACATAAATGTGAACATTTGTATAACATAACAAGTATACATAGTGGTATTTACATAGTAATACTGTATATAATGATATTTACATAGTATTATACGATATACAATATACATATGTTAACATAACATATAATATATAATAATATATACTTATTATATGCAAATACTATATACAAAGGCCTACAAGGACGGGACCGAACATCTCAACGCCTTTGACCGCGTTGGCATCGTTTTTGCACACCAAGGACAGTTTCATGGTCATATACCCTGGAGCATCCGCTTATTGGATTTCTGGAGCGGCTTGGATAATACTCTTCCAACGAAAAGAAAACATTCCTTCACACTATATATGTGCGCGTGCGTATATGTATATGTTACATACGTGATCACATTTGTTGCATTTCAGACATCTTTTGTACAAAAGAATTGCATTGTTGTTGTTTCATCATTGGATATATCTAGTTATGGCATATCATTGTATTGCCATCATCGTCGTTTTTGTTATGATCATTATGTTGTGTTTATCACTATGGTTTGCTCTTATCATTGTAATATATTGACAGAATTATGTATATATATAATCTTTACAATTGTGGCCCCTAACGCTTTTAACTGGGATCAAAATTCCTGCAAGCAAGGTGATCACTGAAATGGGGCTACCAACCAGTTGGAACTGTTTAAGGACTACAACTAGCTACAGCTAGCCCTTCACATGGCACCATCACATGGCATCATCACCACATGGGTGCAGGCCGGAGGTGTTCTTTATGCAGAGGACCCCAAACGATAGCTAAGTTGACTTATAAATGAATTGGTCAACGTTTGGGTTGTTTATGGGAATATAAAAAACTATTATCTAATGTATTCTAATGTTATATAACTGATTTGATTTTAAACCAACAACTTAAAACTGGGGCCCTTGTTTTGGCCGTACCTTGTGGGTAGAAGCATGGCTTGTTTGACCCCCATAAGTTGGGAGGCCCAGACCATGACTTAGGTGTCGCAACTCATCAGCTCTCCTGAGCTTTCCTCGGCTATGCACAGCTATGTTCCATGTTTGGTGTTTAAGGGCATTGACCCAAAATGTCTCAAATGCAGGTTCAGTGTGATGTGGTAAACCCAATGCTGAGCCACAACCCCATTTATATCCATTTACGATTGTTTTACCACTTTCCGGGATATGAAAACAGTGTTGTTCTGTTTATCACGAGACCGGTGGAGCAGATGGGCGCGTTCCGAGGTAATGCCACGGCACTTTGGGGTGCCCTGGTATCAAAGTTTCACCAATTCCAATGGGTTCGGGTTTGGAGCAATGGCTATTCATATTCCTTATCAAATGACATTCTGGTTGGTTTGGACCATGTTTTTTTTCCATTCAGTTGGGAAGTCATCATCCCAACTGACGAGCTCATATTTTTCAGAGGGGTGGCGAAAAACCACCAACCAGCGTTAAATGGAGCAAGGAGCTACTTCAAGTCTCCCCAACTGAAAATCACCTTAAGCCGCTTAAGCCACGTAGAGTGTGGTAAGATCTCTCGAGCTTAAATCACCAAAAATCGAGCTTTGCTGGAGGAGATTGTTTATTTCCACCTTTTAGAGAGTCTCTGCTGGATTTTGTTATTTCGTCGGGGTCCCATGGGGTCCCAAACAGTTCAAATCCATCAAACAAAATGCCATAACATGCCACAGATATTGCTGATGATTTGTCATTTTTTACTGAGTTAAATCCATGCCAAAGCACATATGTTGGAACTTCCAAATGTCCCGAAATTGACCAACCAGGACCAACCAGGAATCTACACAAGCATCGAAATCCTGGGAGTCCACGAATGATCAGCTTGAATCTTCTCCGAGGCAAGCGCTTTCGAAACCTCGGAAAGGAGGAACCCAGCGAGCAGAGAGCCCTGCCCGTGGGTGCGCACGAGGTCATTTGAGTGGCGCGGCGTCTGCCGGGGTCGGCGTGTGGACCATGGCAACGACCGGCAGCTGTCGGCAACTAACATCTGTGATTATTTTGGGATTTGAACACCAAACATGATAAACATGTAAATTTTAAGATGAATTATTTGATTTGACCAGAAAACACGAAGGTTTTGACCGAGTTGACCAATTTGACCAAGAAACTGTGGTGAGTTTACATTATGTTAGCAAAACTGCAGTTGTTTTAGTGTGGAAATCTTGGATAATCTTGGTATACATGCCTTGAGCTGCCAACAATACGGGGTTTGAACCTACAAAAGAACCGATACTGTAGTTCATTACATGGTGAAAGCTGATTACAAGTTCTAGCAACCCCCAAATAGAAATGATTCTTGGAAAACCTGGTAATTGTGGTGGAAACATCTACAATGTTGTGGAAACAACTTTCTATCTTTTTGGGGACCCCATACAAATATACAACTTATACTTTTTTATACTTGCCAAATGCCTTAAAGATTGTTGGAACCATTCCAAAGCGGGAAGTGAGTGAGATAGAAGTCACTTGTGCAGCAGTGGGACTGATGGAACATTTACAATGGAGTCACCTTGTTTTCTACTGCCCAAAGATCAAAAGTTGGAGAGGAGATGTCCTACCATTTCCAACTATATAAGTCGATAACCCCTTGACAACCCCATGAAACACTTGTAGACACAAGGTGGCGCCCCGTAGATAAGTTGGTCTATGACTTGGCTAACTAGGGTTTTATGGTATATAGATATTTGTATTTGATGGGAGGTATAAACCAACAAACAACATCCCCCTAGTTGATTTGACTTCTGGTGTGCTGATGATGTTTATGACTTATAACTAATAACTTCACCATTGTTTCGCCACCAAACCGTGTAAACACGGCCCACTGATGTTCCCTGTGCCAAGGATCAGCAGTACGACCACCTCAAACGGCACCAACGACGCGTGTTGCACCAGCCCTCACGGCACACGCAGCGCTCGCAGCGCTCGTGGTGACGGCGCTCGTGGAGAAGTGGCGAAACGGCGACGGGAATGGCGGTGCTGAGACTGCGCATCAAAAAAATGCAGGTGTTGCGGTATGGTTGGCTGTGAAAGCATTTTTCATCAACACTGGGCTGCCCCACTGGACCTATAGTACCAAAAGCAAGCTGGGTCACCAAGCAGAGAAGCAAAACAGCACGCTGGGTCGTTTGCCAATGTGGATATGATTAATGTAGGCTGCCTAATAGTAAATCCCCCCTAAATAAAATAGTTTTTTAAAAAAAATAGGGGGGGTCAGCATTCCAATAGTAGTTTTTTGGAACCTTATAGCTGGGATCATGGAAGTGGGGGCAGAGGTGGTGGAGGCGAAGGAGGAGGACGAGGAGGAGGAGAAGAAGGAGAAGAAGGAGAAGGAGAAGGAGGACAACAAAATTGGAGTTGCGGAAAAAAGTTTCCACTATTGCCATGCCTGGTGCAGGTTTGTTATTGCTATTCTGGGGCTTGCAAAGGGGGTACCCTTTGTGGACCTGTTTTCTTGCTTTTTTAATAAGGGTTTAATAAGGAAATCAGCTGTTTGGTAATTGGATCAGATTTCTGGAATCTAAGCTTTTGCTAATCAAAAGTGAAGGCTGCTTTGAAAAGGATTTGCTTTACTTGACTCTTTTGGCAATACTAAAAGTAAATGGAGCTAATTGACTTTTAGTATTGGATAAAAAATTGGAGTTGGGAAAAAAACATTCCACTATTGCCATGTTGGGTCCACTATTGGCCATGCCCGCTGGACAAGGTCTGAACATGACTCTTTTGGCAATACTAAAAGTAAATGGAGCTAATTGACTTTTAGTATTGGAGAAAAATTGGAGTTGCGGAAAAATGTTTCTACTATTAGCAAGATATCACTATTGGCTAGACAACATTACTGACCGTTGTGCTGTCATGGGGAGGATCATGCCACCGACTTTACCATCGGGGGTGATGCATACCATCCCTTCCATGCGTTGTGTGATGTGGATTTGACAAGATCATCTCCTGCAAGCGTTCATAGCAGCAAGACATAGTGTGGCCCAGCCATGGCCAAAACTGGAACCAAAGCATGATATCCTCATGCCATAGCAACAACTCATCCTGCGACATCATGCCCAGCATGGGCCAACATCAAGTTGCCTAGACGTTCTTGCTCGGGGCCCAATGGCTAAGGGTAAAGGGGTAATCATGGGTCTAATCATGGGTTCTTGTCCACAGATGTTGATCATGTTTCGCGATCGCGCACACACTTCTTCATTGTTTCTATTTTTTCAGATGTGTCCATCCAAGTTTTTTCCAATTTATATACCCACAGGACAAATAGCCAGAAACAACCAACCTTTGGTTTCAAACTGTACATACGTTGTATGTCCCAGAGTCAGTGGGAACATTTACAAGAATCCCGGAAAGCACGCTGATGTTCCCTGAAACCCAGCGAATAAACCAACTATTCCATGAAGTTATTTTCCATGGCATCCCATGTATCCCCATCGTACCCCCATTACATGTCCATTAACTCCCATTACAGTATATTCCCATGAATTCCCATTTAATTAAAATCATTCGAAACCATTACAACAATATTACTTGGACCTGGCCACCTAAAGTGCTGGCGGCCGAAAACGGCCGGCTGAATCATGGCAACGCTTCCTTCGGTTCCTTCCGTGCCCGCTGCAAGCGCGCAGAAGTTGGCGAGGATGAGCAGCAACTTGGAGCAGTCATCACTTGGCCACCTGGGGCACCGGCCGTAGGGTGGTTATCCAAAGCTAAAAGCCTAAGCTCAAAGCAACCCCCCTGCTATTCTCCCACTTTCATCATGTCAAAGAGTAATTCACCCCCCACAAGGCCCATTTGTTGGTTTCCTTTTGGACTGATCTTTGGCTAGACGTTCAGGAGTTCTGGATCATGTTTGGTTTGATATTGATATCCCAGCTTGGAAACCAAGGCCAGACATGACGCCAATACTTATGCGGCCTCATGTCGGACCGGTATAAACAAGTATGAAGAGTTGGCAGACCCATGTTCATGGAGTATTCCAAGTGGCCGAAATCTGTGCTTGGCAAGAAAATCTCATTGGTACATGATAGCCTTTATAGCCTTCTCAGAACGACCTCAACATGACCTCACCATGAAGAATGGCAAGTAGAACTATTCCATTCTTTCATATCCTTTCTGTGTGTTCATGTTTTATCTTGTTGTTTTTTTTTCTATGTGATATTTTTCTATGTAGATGATAATTACCAATGTGAATCGTTTTAACAAGTCTCAAAAAATGGTTTTCAGCGTTCCTTATTTGTAACCAAACAAATATAGCTATATAGAAGCCAGGCCAGTTACTAACCACTTCGATATCATCAAATCCAATTTTTATATCATCAATCCAAGGTTAGCTATCTATCTATATCAATCAATATATATATATATGTATATATAAATATATATCAGATAAATCCCCATCATGTATCCCTATTGTTCTAGGTTAAATCATGTTAAATCACCAGTTTCCCATGATTTTCCCATGATTTTCCCATTTTGTTCATGCCCAGGTCAAGGAAAAAAACACAATTTTTGTAGGTCCAGTCCCTTCTTGGAATGTTTTTTCCTTAGATTTAAAATCCTTTGTCCACCCTTGCTGTTACTATAGCTACTGTATCTTGATCACCCCAATCATCTCGAATTTTCAAGGGGGTAGCCCATGAGTGATTCAGGTCTTCAATAATACAATTGTTTGGATGGCACTCTATTGTCTAGTGCGCTTTGAAATTTCTGGGGTGAAAAATACCAAAACCGTTAATCCACCTTTCTTTGGATAAAGCTGTTCCAATTACTTGCAATTTTGATATGATCTGAAATCCGTACTTGTCCTTAGATTTCTTTTAGGTTAAAAAGAGAAAATAAATTGAAAGCAGATTGGTATGAACTGAAACCCTCTCTTATCCTTAGATTTCTTTTAGGGTAAAAAGAGAATAGAATTGAAAGTATATTGATATACATTGAAGTCCGTACTTATCCTTAGATTTCTTTTAGGTAAAAAAATGAAAGTGGATTGATATGAATTGAATTCCTTTCTTATAATTGGATTTGTTTTAGGTTCTAAAGGAACATGAAAAACGTACATGAGTAGATGAACATTAATTGAATCCTTACTTATCCTTAAATTTCATTTAGGTTGTAAAGGAAAATTGATTGAACGTAGATTCAGATGAATTGAACTCCTTATTAATCCATACTACTCCATACTAATCCTGATTTATGCTTTAGATTTTTAAAAGGAACATCAATTGCAAGTAAATAAGATTGGCATCAATTGAAATCTTTACTTTAAGTTGATATTTCTGCATTTCCCAGACCTGGTCCCAAGTTTTTTTGAATAGTTTTGAATAGTAGAGTATACCTCAATTGTTTTAAGGGGGGCCCTACACTAATCAGTCTCCAACATTATGATATATCATATTTACCATAAACCCATGGTTTTATCGATCAGTTGCCAACTTGGCTAACCAGGGCACCAGGTTCATGTCGATCCCCATATGTTTGCTGGATGAAACAGTTTATATATGACGGTTTAATGTTATAAACCCATGAACCAACCACCATCGAGATCCCATTCCCCATGTGTCTGGTGCTTAAAAACGTATAGCTCGAAACGTGGCTTTGTCTGAAAATTGGGTTTACATACCCCGAAGATGGCCATTTCATTAGGGAAATTTATGAGAAACCCTGAGATTTGGGGTGTTTTCCCCTAAATGTTCAGACCCATAAAGCACATTAAAACACCACATGGAGGGTTTCCATGGGGGATACCCCAATAGCTGGATGCTTTAGGAAACCTCCACAGGACAGTCCCTATCAATAGCCCTCGTTCTCCCAGCGCCAGGCGTTCGTGGTGGGTCATTATCCAACATCTACCCTCTGGTTATGACTAACATAGCCATGGAAAATCACCATTTTTAATAGGTAAACCATCTATAAATGGGCCAGTTTCCATGGCTATGTTAAATAACCAGATGGTAACATTTCCACAGTTAAAACGGGGGATCCACATCTAAAACCATGGCAACTCCCAATTTCTGGAAGCCGAATCCTGAATCCGAAAAAAAAATCCATTGCTGGTTGGATTGTTCTGCTGAGTTTTTGTCCATGCCCGGAGTTGTTGACTCAGGAGTGGCCCCAAGAAGCAGTAACGATGGGGAACCCGGTGGCTCAGCATGAGGCGCGGTCGAAGCTGGGCCTGGCGCCAAGCATTTCTGGGGAAATACCATGATTTTCCAGAGCTGAACGGTTATTTACCAGCTATTTAAGGATATTCACAAGGTTATGCAGTGCTTTGACCCATAGCCATATGAGGTTGTGGAAAATGGATGAAAATGGGGTATACCGGTATACCCCCAAATTGTGATTGCTTAATGGGGAGAATGAATGAGAATGAGTGAAATCATCAATTCTGGAGGTATTCGCAGACTATTTTCAGAGACAACCATGATACCATGGCTGTACAAATAAGGTTTCCCTAAATCCAGTGGTTCAGATTTAGATGAATCATTGTCTCATCAAAACGTGGCCAAAAAATGCGGTATCCCCCCTGTTGAGACCAAAACTGTATGTTTTTTTTTTGCAGCATCCTGCTGGTGATGATCCCGATTTATGAAACGAGTTGTTGAAAATCCAGAATTTTGTTGGACCTTCAGGTTAAATCCCCAGGTTCCTAACATTTTAATGGATGGGATTGTGAATCTCACAAGAGGGTCATAGACAGTGGCGCTTCTTTCCCCTCCAGGCATGGCCATCTACACCGGAGCCGGCAGGAGAGGGGCGTGCCGAAGGGTGACAAAAAGAATATCACAGTCACTGGGGAACTACGTTTGGTGGGGCCCCAGTTCGTTCGTTCAAGGTTTCTAACTAATATATATATATATATAGATATATACATATATATATACATATATATATACATATATATATACATATATATATACATATATATATATACATATATATATATATATACATATTACAGGGTTTATGATGGCTTATGGTAGATACATCTGCTGTAGTTAATGGGCTGAAACTAAACCAAGTTATGACTGGAGGCGCCCCAGCTTGTGGGTGACTCCCAGTTCCCAGCGGGATATGGTGACCTTGGGCTGATGGGTTTCCAGATGCGGCCGGATAAAACCAACAATCCTGGGGGGTTGACCGCCAGGGAAACAAGGGGATCACAAGCAATAGTGGCAGTAAGGTACACACTCTAAATTTGAGATGGAAGCAAACTAGCGATGCATTCAAGAGTTAAATCGTTTAGCTCGGACCCTCTTTGTGTGGGATTCCACAATCAATTTTGAAGGTGTAAGTACAGGAATGGCCCCCCAGCTATCTTTGTTGGCTTGTAGCCCCATCTAGCTACAGAGATCCACCATAAATTAGCCTCGTTGTAAGCAAACTTAAATTGATCGATCATGAATCAACGATCAATCTCCAGTTATGTTGTTGAAATTCCTATCGTCAGCGGTTCCATCTCAATTTCTCTGGCTTAAAATAATCTTGAATCCCAACTAATAAATTGATTCCACGTCCCAATTTCGGCCAAATCCATGTTTTTGGTGGATATAAACCAATTACAAACCAATATTGATGACATTTTGATAGCATAAGTCTCCCTTTCTATGGCTAAAAACCACACCTTTTCGGTCCGCCCCCAGGGGTCCGTGCCGTGGCCGTCGTGGCCGCAGGAGCTCGGACAGAGTGCGAGCGCGGAAGAGTGGCTGACGCGGCGCGGCAGGGACACGCAGCTCGGAGCGGGGTGGATGAGTTATGGATGGATGATTAATAATTTAATAACAACTCAACCATGATTGATTGTTGATAATCCATTTAATAATCCATGATTGTTGATAATCCATCATGGATGAGTTAATATGGATTATCAACAACTCAATCATGGATTTTTTAATGGATGGATAGTAATGGAGAGTTGCTATCCGTCCATATTGATATGTATTATCTGGTAAACTAACTTAGCGATGAACTGATTTAATGATGATAATTCATAAGTGATAATAATGATAACAATTCATATGAGTTATTAAAAAACTATTCATTCATCCATTTATTCATCATTATTATATGGATTAATATGTAATAGGGATCACACTCTGGTAAACTAACGGTTTGCTATGGAAAATCACTATGTTTCAAAAGCAAATCAAAGAACTAAATGGTCATTTTCAATAGCTATTAGGCTATGTTAAATTACTAGAGGGTATTAATAATGATAAATTACTAATTTATGTAACTATTATTTGTATATATATATATGTGTATATATATGTATATATATATATGTATATATACATATGTATAGTCATGGGGGTACCCCCAATTCATCCAGCTTCCATCAGGATTTTCCATTATAAACCATCCCTTTTGGGGACAATTTATCGACACCTCCAGATATCATACATGTTTGTATATATATATATATAGGATGAACATGTTGTATTTCCCAGTATTGGGGATCAAACATGATTAAAGGCCAATACGGAATTTAAATGAAATTCACCAACCAAAATAAGGGATGTAATGAAGATAGAATGGGGACGATGGAGATTCCGCACGTTTTAGCCGACCAAACTATAGGGATTTAACCAAGAAATATTGAGATGGGCCATGTGAATGTATGATATTTTGTTATGTATACGGATTATATAACCAACTATGATATAATATTATGTAATGCCACTTATAACCCGACATACCACTTTGGATGTTTTTCCAACATATGATATTTTGGAGGTCTGAAAATGTGGTATACCATCCACATGGCCCTATTGATAGGGACGATGCGATGCTGATGCCGCGGATGGTGGATCAGCAAGGACTGGAACTTCAGGGGGTTTTAGCGCAAATCACAACGTTTGGGTTGACGAGCAGAACACGTTTGAATTTCAAAAGATAGTCATGGTATATAGCCACTGCATGGTCCATACGGCTGGAACAGCTCCCCTTCATGACTCTTGAAGACATTGGGAAAATGTGTTGACTTTTGTGTATGGGCCTGGGTCCAAATTTGGGTTTCAGCCACACCCTGGTTGGTGGTTTCAACCCCCCAGCTGTGATACTGAAAAATATTTTTATTGCTGACCTCCTGTAAATTTGATTTAAGATAGATGATAATTCATGGGGAAAACCAAGGAAAATGATTGAAATTCAGGGAAAACCAAGGAAAATGATTGAAATTCAGTATCGGTTTGACTATGTAAATTATTGTTGGTTACATATGTATATATATATAGGTGTTACATATATAATTACATATACACACCCGAGTCCAACTATATATGTTTTTATTCACATGAAATGGTCGGTATCACACCCCAAAAAGTGAAATTTGACGGGAACCCTCTTTGGACGCCAGCGCAGAAAGCGGAGAAAGCCAAGTGGCTCGAGATCTTTCAAAGGAAATCATCGGAGAAAAAACGCACACACTCATACACATATATATATACACAGTGTACTCGTTGAACAGAAACATAAAATGTGTTTGACACAAATGCCATTCATTTACCAAGAATCAGTCACCTTAGATGTCAACGTATATTTGCCAATTCAAAATACACTGCCAAAATGGGGCAATGTTGAAGCTTTGTGAACCATTTGAGGAAAGTCACAATTCAAATTCCCACTTCTTTTCTGATCAAACATGGAGATTTCCCAGCCCCAAATTGCTACAGCTATGGCGTAGCCCAATGATAACCCCAATGGCATAGCCCATAAAATCAGTGGTAAATGGCGTTCACTGTAAAGGGTCTAGCTTCATCAGGTCATGCACTGGAAGGGCTCCATCTAAAGGTCGGGTGTGTCCCGCCATGCCGGAAGATGGAGACACGAAGAAGGCAGGGCAGGGCTGGGATGGTGGAGAACCGTTAGAGCCCGAAACAACCCCAAGCTATCGCTATTGGGGAACAAATGGAGGTCTCACTGGCAAAATATGGGTTTCAACAGCAAAGATTGATATTTTGCCAGCAAAATGGAGGTTTCCCTAGCAACGATGGATAGAAACCATCCAATCTGGGTCAATATAACCGTTTATATGTATATACTTGTTTCCCATATATGGGAAATAATCATCCCAACTGACTAATATTTTTTCAGAGGGGTTGAAACTACCAAATAGTGTATATATATAATATATATATATCATATTTATATATATATATATTTATCTCTTCAATTCAATGTATATTTTGTGTATATGTATATGCTGTGTACATGCCTGAGCAAAGCTATGAACTTGTTGAGTTTGGCACGTGGCTAGTAATCCATGCGCACTGAGTTTGGCCCACCCTGTGGGTTGCTCCCTAATCAACTATAGGGAGAAATGAACCTACCCAGGTATTACCAGTCAATTGATTTGCAATACTTATAGCTCCATTCTTGGGAAGCTGCAACTACAATCAACCCGGGGAAGCTGCTTTGTTGCTGAATATCCCGAGATTTTTTCCGGTGATTACAAAGCATCCATTTGTATGAAAATGTGGACACATATTCGATGTTATGTTTGTAGTGTTTTCATATATATATATATACATTATAAATCGGTAATTCTATATATATATATATTATCCTTTCTTACAATAATAATAACAAGGATGCTATTATTGTATTGCACAAATCCCATTTTTTTCGAGGCCAGAACGGAGCAAACGGAGGCATTGCTGGGCCTCTCCGTGGTGAAGGCCAGTGGTGATTTGGTGGGCACCTTGACAGCGATTGGATGAATCCAAAACCTTGGAAATATGTGAGTACTCCACTCCACTCCACTCCACTCCACTCCACTCCACTCCACTGCGGTAAAAATATAACGTAAAGTGAATATGTCATATATAATGGAATGATATATATATATACATATTATATATGTATATAAATGAATATAAATGATAGCTGAATAATATAATGGAAAGTAACTCAATAATAAATGGACTATATAAATGAATCTTTTAGGTACAATGTAAAGTAATTGAATAATATCATCGATTATAATGGTTAAATAACAACAAACATCATGTGAATATGGAATAAAGCACCCATATGTTGATGATTGTTGATGGTTTACCACCTGTAAAACATGGTGAAACTGGGATTGTTTTTTTTGTTGACCCACTTTACTCGGTGAGGATCTCAAGGATAGTATCTAATATATCTGTGAGATTTATTATATATTGACCATAGTATCTAATATATCTCAAGGATAGTATCTAATATTTGTCCATCCTTTTGTTCTGTAGGGATCTTCTTCGAGATTTCGTTCCCCCCAAAAAAGGGATGGACAACTTGGCTCTGTGTCGATCTCTTTGGGCAAAGATTTCCAGATGTGTTTCCCTTCATTTCTGGTTGACAAAAGTAGGGAGAAAAAAAAATGGTTAGTTTACCATAGTAACCATTAGTTTACCCACCAAAAAATGCCCCTGAAACTATAACTTCCATAAAAGGGATGTTTTTGGGGAATCAAAACGTGGCACTTGAAAATCCACGAAGTGAGTTCAAACGGTGGTTTTCATTGGACATCGTCTACAACAGGGGGTGCTAGCCCAACCGCTGGGTTGCCCCAACCAACCAAAAATAACGTCGTTTGGAGCCGTGGTCCAAGGTAAGTTCCGAATTTCAAGAGATGCACTGGCTACTTGGCACGTTCGAGCAGCCGTGGACAATAATCCAACAATGATTTATCAAAGTTTATCAAAACAAATCCAACTTGCTGCATTTTTATTTATCCATCTGGCGGGTTTTCTAAAGAAAGGTGATACTCCCAAATCATCCAAAATTTGGTGATTATCAATAGGAAAACCAAATGGTTTTGGGGTACCTATATTTTGGGAAACCTCCATTTGAACAGTGGTACAAGGAACAGCAATTGTGGTGTCCTGTTTGGTGAGTCATCACTACGGTTGGTTAGAATTCTCATGATCTAACAATTGGCTTGCCACAGCAAGTTTTCCCTTTTGCAATCTTTCAACCAGTCGATGGATTGATTTAAGGGAAACTCTTAACCGGAAACCATCGATTTTCTCATGAAATATGGGCTTTTCCTGTAAATTTTCCCTTAAACCAATCCATTGAACCAGAGAATGGCTCTACATTGGAACTGCCCACCCTGGCTCAGCGCTTCAAATTTGCCACGAGCTCGGCAAGCCGCAAGCCTGTGCCTGGTGATCAATCCCATTGGCTGTGTGGAAGATTCGGCAAAATGGACGTGCGAGGTCCGGTGGAAAATCCATTGAGTTCTAAATTCCTCAACTATGGGTGTCTATGTCCATTCTTCAGAAATCACATTCAATTTCATGCTGGTGATTTGATGTTCCTCCCAAGAATTCGGAAGCTTTAATTACCCTCAACTCACTCAGATCCCGAATTCCAAGTTCACAGCAGTTACTCGTACCCTCTGGTAACCGTTTAGATATGGAGTTTACACACCAGTAGATCATTGTCCTATTCAAAGCATGTTTTTTTTCCACGTCTCTTTGTATGTTTACCTTGGGTTTTGTCCACCTGGGGTTTTCCCACCAGAAACAGCCTCCTTTTCACTTAACGTGGCGGCCAAAGGTGGATGAGCTTCGCGTAGAAATTCACAAAGCAGGGGGCCCACCTGCGCTCTTTCAACAACTGCTGCTGGGTGCTGTTTGGCCACGTTTTTCATCCACTCCCCAAGTGTGGTGAGGAGAAACAAGTGAGAAGGAATAGGCTATATATATATATATACATGTATATATATATATATCGATTCACATCAATTCCTGTTTACACCTTTGGGGACAGCGCCCCCCGAAGTAGCTCGACTAACATCCATCAACCCAACATTGATATGAGTTGCCCTCAATCAACTTGGCTAGCGGTTTAAGGTATGTTTTGGTTTTCGCTACATCATGTTTTCTGAAAATAGTTTAAGTATAGATTCATATCAACCATATTCAACCATAAACCCAACCTTTCTATGAGTTTTACACCTAGTTGTCCAACATTTTGGGGCTCCGCGGACGAATGGTTCACCAAGGCTGTGTGGCCATGAAGAGCTCAAGGCGCGGCAGGGAGTTCCTGTTTTATGTGGGACTTAGATATCACCGGTTGGTGGTTTGCAACATGAAATTTATGACTTTCCATATATATATATATATATATATTGGGAATAACCATCCTAACTGACCACCAACCAGAAAATACTTGTGCCCTCTGGTTTTGACTAACATAGCCATGGTAAGCCATGGCCCATAGAAATAGATGATTGTTCCAGCTATAAACCTCCATTTATGTTAAATAACCAGATGGTATATCAGAATCTCAATATCATATATCAAATAATTAAGGGAATATTGATACCTATAATGATTTTTCAAAATATAATAAGTCCTATTGATATTGTGAACTATTTCTGTTCATCAATATCATTCTCAGTATATATATATAAATAAATAAATAACTGAATATATACGATCATCTATTGGGCATTTGAATAACGAATCTAAAACAGGGAAAACCTATATAAACCACAAATATATTATGTGCATAGGTAATTATATATAAATAATCAACTTGAGGTGGGAAGAATATGTAATTTGTTCAAAGATCTTATCATTTTAGTGATTTGGTTTGACATAGATTGACATGTCCATATTCTATAGTGTATATAATTGCAAAAACAAATGCCATAACATTATATCATTAGTATTAACATATGTATGGTTTATAAAATGTCATAGCATGATATCATATGATATCCCATTTATGGTTTAGTTTTGACAACCATTTTCCTATGGTTTTCCCATGTTTTTTTCTATGGTTTCCAGAATTCCTCCAGGATGACCTCTCCCAGGATGGCGAACCGCTGGGCGCCCACTGTCACGAGGGCGACACCTTGCAGCTGCTGCTGTGTCTGCCGCGGAACTCCGCAGCCGAAGACATCGCGGTTGAGCCGCTCGGCGCGGAGTTCGCCTAGAAAATAAACGTGGGACAAGCCATGGTTTCCCTACAGGATGGGGCCCCATAGTTGGGTAAGTTGGTTTATATGTTCAATAACTAGGGTTGAGGGATCATTATATAGCTAAAGGAGATAAAAAAGAAATCAACTTGTAACTAAGGGCACCATCCTGTAGGACAATCATCTACACATGAGTCATGAGTCAATAGAATCATAGGAAGTGATTAATAATCCTATAGTGGACACAAAAATGGTGGGTTTCACCAGTAAAAACCGTAGAAATATCGGTTTTACTTGGGCAAAACAAATGGACAGGATGTTCTGTTCTGGCAAAAACATGGAACAATTGCTGTAACTAGCAAAAATGTGGAAACATTGGCCTTAAACTGAAAACAACTATGAGCAACATGTTTTCACTAGGAAAGATATGGAAAACATGCAGGGAGTACCCTGGGGCGAACTAAAATTCAGATATGGAAAGCCACTGGTTTCCAAGAAACTGATCTATAAGTTTCATACCTATGTCAATCGTAGGGTAGCCACAGAAACATGATCAAACATAGGTTTAACATGGTTTAACATAGGCTTAACTGTAAGAACACTGATTTGGAAATTCAGCAGGGAAAAAAAACACCAGGAGAACCCGCCAATGACAAACAGTGTAGTTACCTGGCCACTGTGACGGCAAGGTCTCAGTGTGGATAGTTGTGATAGGTTGCTTTGTGCAAGATAGACATCAATGATCATCAATTTTAGTATTGAATGTAAGAGTTTTGTACACGGTGAATCGGAGTTTATTTGTTTTTGTTTTCAATATATTTAGATATTCGTTAATGCTGTATGGTGCACTCTATACACTGATGAACATGGCGATGGACAATCCCTCAGTAGACGATGCTCCTATTCCACGTAGTGTTGCATATCTATTTGATTATCTTTGATTACTCAATAGAGGGTAAGAAATGAAGACATGGGTAATTTCCAGCAACCCCAACACCTTTGCATGGTACAAGCCTATGGGTGTGCCGTAAATCTTCCTTGGAAAACAGATCCTTCGGCTGATGGTTGGGTATATTTTCTTCCGTACATCGAATCCTTGCTGTTGAGTTTATGGGTTCTTAAAACATCTTGAAACCATGTTTCCCGGTCACACCACATCCTTGTGTTTGGTGGATTTTGCAGTTGTTACATGAATCCCATATTTCCCCCATATATTGCAATAATAAATGCTACAGCAATTGTTTATTTGTATCATACCAAAGTCATGTCAGTTCTTTTTAAAGTCACATCATATCTCGTATCATATCCCAAATTGCCACAGCGTCGGCTGGCCACGGACTCCAAGTTGGATGGAGATCCAGCACACGGACCAACTGTTGGAAGAGCTGACGATTCGACTCTGGGCAGCGCAACGGTTACGACATGTTACGACGGTGACGTGAGTCACGGGTCTTGGAGGATCGACCCCCACTTTTCCTGGGTGAATATGAATATCACATTACTGGTTGGTGGTTTGGAACATGGCTTTTATTTTTCCCATCATATTGGGATATATTGGGAATGGAATAATCATCCCAACTGACGAACTCCATCATTTTTCAGAGGGGTGGCGAAAAACCACCAACCAGATTAGTATAGGGAATCATCATGTTTTTGTTGGTGAATTGGTAACTCTTGGAACTCAGGAACTTTTGTTTGGTGTGGTAAATGGGGACGTAACCAGTGCGCAACAATGATGGGGACCATTTCATGGAGATTTCATGGGGATTTGCCCCGAGGAGATGAAATGAGGCTAAACCTGCTGGATGGGCCGCAGAAGTCTTGATATCATCTAATCGAACTAGGAATATTGATCATCAACAATGCAACAATCAACATAATCCAAGAAATGGGGACATAGTCAGAAACAATTAGTTTTCTTGTTTTCATGGAATAAACGGACTGGATGGGTAGTTCAGTCCTAACTATTGTGATTTGTGTTTTGCGAGAAATGGTATAAGTATATAAGTTTTGAGACAAACACACTATTTTGTATGACATGCTAGATGATAAAGTTAGCCATGCCTCACCGAAGGTATTCGCTTCGAGTTATTGGCCCATTTTTCGCCACTCAATGGGATGATCCTGTCAGAAAAGCGAACAGAACAGAACTGGGCCCATGTTTGGGACATGAAATAACTCTTCATCGAACATCCAAAAGCCTAAAATGAATAGAACTAATAGAACAGATTTTTCCAAGTCCTACAAGCAGATTTCAGAGGCTGCCTTTGCTACCTTGATTGAAAATCAAGGAGGCGATGTGGGATCACATGTTGCTGGGCTCATCTCCATGTTTGAAGTAAAGCTTGTTGAAGGAGATGCGTCAGGATTTTTCCACTGCGTAGCGTAGTTGTGTAGTGAAATGTAGCGTAGTGTAGTGTAATGTAATTAGTGTAGTGTAATGTAATTAGTGTAGTGTAGTGTAATGTAGTGCAGTTGTAGTTGTAATTGTAGTGTAGTGTAGTGTAATTGAGTGTAGTGAAGTGAAGTGGAGTGTAGTGTAGTGTAGTGTAATTAGTGTAGTGTAGTGTAGTGTAGTGTAGTGTGGCAATTCTGCGACACTTCCTTCAATTTTCGAAGTTGACAACATCAAAAACGAAGCAATTCTGTGAGACTTCCTTCAAAAATTGAAAGTTGAGTGCAGAGCTGACGGCCTCGCACCAATGCGTTTTGCGCTTTTTCCACTTCATTTGTCTAAAGTACTGCGTCTGCCACGAAAAAGTGATGCCAAGTCATATACAAAGTGCTGCACCTGTCGCGCAAAATCATCTTCGCAAACCTG